CCTATTATAATATAATTATGAAATTTGAAATTTCTCATATATTCATATAGCCAGTAGCCACTGCCCACATTGGTTGGCCATAAATCTAAATAACGTAACCTCAACATCATAAAAGTATATAATGTCTTGCAACTATATCGTTTATTTTTTGTAACGAATTCGTTAAAAGGTCCATAATCCGTTTTGTAATGATTGGAATATTGGATACTATTATAAACTATGGTCTGCATTGTGCAGTGGTTTTTATAATAATTATAAAAACCGTACATTATTATGTAATAATTACATTATAATATATTATGCATAATATGTCCCGACATTATTGAAAAACCGTTTTTTTATTACTCTGGTCGCTTTTGATATAAAATTAACGACAATTTACACGATTACAATCTAAAATAATCGATAGTATAAAACACAAACGTTTAAGACCAAAATATATAAATATAGGTGTGTAAACTTTGTTTATGTATTAATTAAGTTCTGATTCAAGGAGAGAAGACTTAGTTATATAGTAGTATATTTAAATTTAACACGACATTTTATGAATTTACGATACATATTATTTATTTTCGAAGTTTAAACGTTATGTCACGGAATTACCGTAATACGCTGGTTAATTCCACGGTATAAAGTATAAACCCACAAAATGTGGTAAGTGTATAATATACATCATCCCCGCGATATAGTGTGGAGGAGAATACAATACAATATCTATAATAACATGACTGAACTTATTATTTACGTGCACGACGGTGAAAATATGTACCTTTATAATATTATCATAGCGGCTCAGCCGATTCCAGAACGATTTTTATGTATTATAGATCCCCCATCCCGCGTGTAGTACATCATCATACGACATTCGAGACGTATCCAAGTCTTCGGCTGCGGTGCGAACGGTACACAATATACGTAGATATAATATTATAATATTAGACGTGTACAAGATACGAGTATAAATACTCAGGTATTTGACGATCGTTTTGGGTGTCGCCCCGGAGTAAAAAACAATAAATAAACCGGTGTTACGTTGTTCCAATCTCTTTTCTTCGGTGTATGCTCTTATATTATATACGCTGCACTGCCGTGGCCGCTTTTTTTTTTTTTTTCATTCTCTCTGCTGGTACTCGTCTGATATACGACTCATTAATTTACGCATCGGCAACGATAATTCCTCCGAAAAACCGAGGTGTGGCGCGACGGCGCACGCGCGCGTCGTAATTAGAATCGACGATTGACCCATAACTCTTCGCCGCGATTCCGCCCTCGGTGCCGCGGAAATATTATTCGGATCGTATTATAATAATGTTAGGTAGGTACCTATATCGTATTATTTTCAGTTGGTCGGTCGCACGGAGACGAGCAAATTCGAATAAATCTTTGCGGACGAGTGGCGCGGTAACGCGCCCGTATATAACATACGCGCGCATAATGTATATAAATACCGACATAATATTAGTATTATAATAATATTAATATATTATGTATACAATATATTAAAATTTAAAAGACTGATATTTCACCTACCGCACTATAACAGTACCTATGTATAGGTTTAATGATATGAGTACAATCGTCGCTCCACGACCCCCGAGGGTGGACGATTCGATACGGTGGTCCTGCGGGGGAGGGGGCGGTGTGAGAATTCCGTGCGATTATTATTAGGTATAACGCGCGTTTTGTTTACGGGTCTTTAGTCCGATGGGTACATAATTACATCGGAAGAAATTACTATTGCGTTATTTATAATACGCATTATTATAATATATTAGATATAATAATACAATAAACACGACTATATTATTATGATATACGAACGGTATTCCGAGGTGTCATTGCGCGTGTTGGGCGTGTGTTTTATGATGAGGCCGATTTCCACGCAAGCGCGTATACGCACTCGTGAGAATATTAAATATATAATAAAAACGTAAAATAATCATTATTTATTTCCTACTTTCCTCCGATCGGGGGTCGCGTATTAAACGACTCATCATTCATCAATCAATTAGTAGGTACGGTACACCTACAGTGGTAGGAAGACGAAAATGTTTTCGAATCTTTTTTTAAAACAAAATGTAAAACCGTATGAATAAAATAAATATCTGATTTACACCTAGAAAACGTCCTAGAAAACGTCCTGATTAAGCACACAGACTTCAAGTTACACGTTTATTAACTACCTATGCACCTATATACGACATTCCATTTCGTACGGTTGAAAATGTGTGTATCTATTTGTGTGTGTGACTATATATGTGAGCTACATGAAGAGGCAACTATTAAAGTTGAAATTGTATTTTCATCATGAGTGTAATGTGAAAATAAATGTTCAGTCAAAACCTCGTTTAGCAATAATTTTCCCATAACTCACTCGTCCCGCCGTATACGCGTCCCCATTAGTATAATATCTGTCCACTCGAAGTTTTTACAACAGCCGTGTCCTAATTGGCTTCTTTTATTATTATTATTATTATTAATAATAATATTAGATAGCTATAAAACGCGCCCGTTCATCCGGTGAAAAATATTTACATAAAAAAATCTAAAGTCATTCGAAATAATTCAGACTTAAACTTATAATATATATATGTATACCTACAAAATTTCGTCTATTCTCAAAACCATCCAACATTATAATACATACAAATATGATAATATTATACAGGAATATATAGGCATACCCATAACATAATGTTATATTGCTGCGCTGCAACTATATACATAGTATGTAATGCTCGGGTAAAAGTGTAAAACACGTATTCATGCTGTCAAAACTATAACTTCCCGCTTCCGCTGTAAGCAACTCAAGTTATCAAAATGCGTAGATCTGTACATAATATTTGTATATTATTATGTTAAGGAACAAAGTGGTATATACTAGCATTCTAAATTATATTCTCAGGGAATTTTTTTAAATGCTAAATCCGGCATTTTTGGGCAATGTGAATAATTATTATTTTTAACATTTTCTATAACGCATGGAATACTTATATGACTGATTTATCACTAGCAAAATAAATTTAAAAAAAAAATATGATGTACTATACATCAATCTATAAGCGTTTGTGTTGATAAATTATGTTGTTGTGTTGTGCAAACATTTAAAAACTTTTGAAACTTTAATTCGTGTTTACTTTATCTTATTTTAGTTCATAACTTACTATAGGCAATGCATATAAGATATAGGAATAGGAAGTGCCGGATCTACATGGAGGGAGGGGGGTATCCGTGCCCATCATCCGTGGTATGAGCAAGGGCTTTTATGTTTATGAAAAATAAAAATAATAATGAACATAAAATATGAAAAAGTTAAAATGTATAACATATTTCCGAAAAAAAATAATAGGTATTACCTACAGTCTTTTGCGTTATTTACCACGTTTAACCGAGATGTCAACAAGCAATTGGCACGAGTAACCGTGTGAGGGTGTCCATGCAAGTTTTTTTGATTTCATTTATAAAAATAAACTTCAATATTATATTTATATCCAAATATATCAGTTGCTTACCAAATATATCTTACAATGCCAGTTAGAAAATTAAAATTAATAAAATCATACCTAAGATTAACTATACAGAGCAAGCAAGACTTAAGGGGATTGGAAGCGGTGATTTTCTGTTTTTGTATTTGTTTAACACACACGGAACATAGGGTTTTAGACGTGTTTCCATTCCACCGTTCCGATTGATCGAGTGAAATGATCATAATTCTAAAAACAGATTTGTCGTCATGTCTACTTATGCCCGACTTTCTCACATGTTTGGTTTTGTCACGTTAAATCCTAAAAAAATGCATACTACTTGACACCTGTATCTCCACATACGTAAGGGCACTGCATTTTCATTAGCCCCAGGCGTCAAATTTTCTAAATCCGAAACTGGCAATAGGCAAACAGTTAAAAAACAATAGTGGTCATCTGATTTGGTTTGAAGATCACTATCAACTATACATTAAATACTGCAGTGAATGCACTCGATGATAATATTCTTATAATATGGTATCTATATTTTTATAATATTTAGGAATGACACTTCCATAGATCCAAAATATAAATATTATTGGTCGTCTACTTTCATCCAGATTACCTGCATTATAGTTGAGTATATATGTTGACTATTACACCTACACGTCATAATGCAGTCGTGTACAACTAACAAATAGTTCTCTGAGTAGTCTGCACCTGCCTATACGGTGACTGTTTGCGCCGACGATCCTGACTAGCGGTTGTCGTCTGACACACGGTCCTCGGGATAAAGGCGGGGCAGGGCAAATGTTAAATAACAACAATTTGAGTTTAAATATACAAGAATTGGCATGTATTAAGTCTTACATGCACAACAAATTAATTGTATCTATCAGTACACAAGTTACAGGGGGGGAAACGGGGATCACCGACTGAGCTGCCTTCCTGGCCGATGTCTTGAGCTGGTGAACTGTATGTGCGGAGCTGCTGTATGTGCGGAGCTGCTGTATGTGCGGAGCTGCTGTATCTGGATCACGGGTGCGAGCGTGTGCACCGTCGTGTCGTGGAGCGAAGAACGTTCAACCGCGCACGTGGACGCGAAGAATGGTATAGTAGGTAAAGCTACTCGGAGCTGATTGTCACGAACTTGACGAGAGCAGACTGGACGACGACAGTCAATAAAAGATCAATACGGTTAATCGGCCGAACAACCGCGATGTTTAATACTGAACAATAAACACGTTTTCCGTAACTATCCCAAACGGGAAAAGATGGCTGACGGGCGAGCGAGCAGAACAACCGTGTTGACGGAGCGGTCGGGTACTCGTTGCAACGGAAAAACGGAGAGAGAGTGGCGCGTACGAACGAGCTCGCCTGCGCCGGGCGCCGGTAACAGCCTACCAGTGTTGCCAAAATTGCGGCTGCCGGCGCGCAGCGCCCATGAACATGGTTACTGCGGCGGTCGGTCGAGCGTGACCACCGACGGCGGCAATGTTGTTATCAAACGGATCGAACATACTCCCCCTTGCAAGTTCAGCGAACTTGCAACAGACTTCGATCAACCATGATGTAGGTGGCCGAGCAAGTGACCACTTGAACAGTGCAGTTGAGCAGAGCAGTTGAACGGAGCAGTTGAACAGAGCAGTTGAACAGAGCAGTTGAACGGAGCAGTTGAATGAGCAGTGGAACGGAGCAGTTGAACGGAGCAGTTGAATGAGCAGTTGAACGGAGCAGTTGAACGGAGCAGTTGAACAGAGCAGACTGATGATCGGGTTTTTTACAAAGGGGCAACATCATTAACAGTCTTTTTTTGCAACGAAATAAATTAATTTAATAACATTACCAATGACTAGAGCAATAGCTGGACTAGCATTACAATATTTAACAATAGGAACACAAGTTAAATGATATCACAAACAAAGACTTTAGTTACATTTTTTTTTCTCAAAATACACAAATATTATAACAGATTAATACCTGAAAATATAACAAAAAACAAACAATAAAAAATACCATACCTCACCTGGTACCCGAGGCAGAACAGCCGACGAAACATCCAGCAGCATGCGTGGTGATGGTTGGTAAGAAAATGAATTATTTACATAATGAGCGTAGCAATAACATACAAATATATAAAGTGCAAATGGATACAGGAAACAGGGACTAAGGGGAGTCTCAATACCTACGGATCTGTGGGGAGAGGTACTAGTTTAACCACTGGTCTGGTGAACACCCCCTGTTTAGTAATAACCTTAGCTACCCGTACCACCTTGTCGGTTCCTGGATACACCTCAATGATTCTTCCTAATGGCCACGATAGCGGAGGCGCATCATTAACCTTGACGATGACCATAGTACCAACTTCGAGATTGATATCAGTCTTCGTCCACCTACCACGAGCTTGGAGGGTGTTCAAATACTCCCGAGACCAACGTCGCCAAAAGAATTGGAAGGACTGCTGGAGGAGCTTCCAGCGAGTCCGCAGTCCCACTTGTGCGCTAGTACTAACAGGTTCTGGGATTGACAACAAAGGGCGACCAATTAAAAAATGACCGGGCGTTAAACATTCCAGATCATTTGGGTCGGGTGATGCTGGTATTAGGGGACGCGAGTTCAGAGCAGCCTCTACCCTACACAACACCGTTGAAAACTCTTCTAGAGTCCAAATTTGGGAATTCATTGCTCGAACAAGCAATGACTTCGCCGACTTAACGGCGGCTTCCCAAATTCCTCCAAAATGGGGAGCACCAGGAGGGTTGAAGTGCCATTCACACGCAATATGACCTGAGAACTGATCTCTACTGTCCGGACTATTGACCAATTGACGCAGCTGCCTCGCCGCACCAACGAAATTGGTGCCACAATCCGAATAGATGGCCGACGGTAAGCCACGGCGACCTACGAATCTATCCAGGGTTAACAAGAAAGCTTCCGTCGAGAGGGCAGACACTGGTTCTAGATGCACCGCTTTGGTGGTCATACAAACAAAAACAGCGATGTAAACCTTAACGATGCGCGCCTTCCGCAGACTGAGCTCCTTCATTTGCAAGGGCCCTGCGTAATCTATGCCGACTATTGAAAACGGGTGGGCTTCCCGGACCCGGAACCCTGGCAGAGCAGCCATAATGGGTTGTGGATGATCAGCCGACATTTTTGCGCATAACACGCATTTTCGGATCACCCGATGAACTATCAGGCGAATGCCAATGACCCAAAATCGTTGTTGTACGAGAGCGATGAGCAAACGCGGTCGAGCGTGACACGCGTAGAGATGCCAATGTCGTGTGATCAGAATGGCTAAATGAGACTCTTTCGGAACTAACATAGGATGCTTTCGCTTCTCCGACCAATTGGAGTTTTGCATCCGTCCGCCAACGCGGATTATACCATCTGAATCCAAGAACGGGCACAGACGAGCTAGCGCCTTGGACTGGACCGGGCTCCCCCGACGCAGGCCGTCTACTAGCTGGCTCAAATAACAATTCTGAGCACTCCTAACGATCACGAGCGTAGCTTCATCCAATTCAGCTTGTTTGAGAAAACCTAGCTCGACCTTTCTCCTTTGACACAACCGGATGAACCGACGTACCTGAGCTAGTACGCGAATCATCTGGTGAAAGGAGGAGAACCGAATAAACCATTCGACTGGAGGATCTTCACAAGTCAGTAAACACACTGGTCTTACTTCCGGCAGCTCCCCCAATTCTAAGTGCGGGATGTTCAACCACGATAACACGATGGGCGAGTCAGACCACGCAAATACATCAGAAATTCCCAACTGGAACTCTAGAATGCGAATGAGCCAGGCCAACCATGATGCAAGGAGCAATGCACCAATCAACTCCAGTCGTGGTATTGTCATGGTCTTCAATGGTGCTAGCTTAGTCTGGACGAACTTCCTGACGGCTGTACACCAGCGTTCTCGATAACCTGGATCCTTGCCTTGACAAACTTGATCACTCTCTGGATCGATGGATACTCTTCGTTATTTTCAGACTCGAACTGACGTCTAGAAAATGTAGGTAAGCACCGAGCAGCCAACGAGAACAACAAGAACGACGCTAAATCTGGAATCCGAAGCGATTCCAAAATTGCAATATTTTCATCAAAAACTGATAGGAACTTCTGCAGAGCAGCATGATTCTCCGAACTAGCAACAGGAGCGTTTATCAACTTGTCGATGATTGACGACGCCAACCTGCGCGGTTTGTCATAGCGTTCGACCAACGCATCCCAGGCGAGGGTGAAAGACTCGTTCGAAATGGAAAACCCTTTGATCACTTCCTGGGGATCGGGGTGAAGACACCCGACCAAATAATAAAACTTGGTTACATTAAGAATCTTGTCATTATTGGCTACCAAATTGCCGAATAAGTCCCTAAAAGCTGGCCAGTTCTGGCATTCACCGTCGAAATATGGAAGGGGAATTTCAGGTAGTCTCATGGTTGCCGAAGGTGAAGGCGCATATGGTACAGGACAATCTTTGGACGACCCAACAGAAGTACTCGAATTGTCACCGGTGGTCTCATACGTCACTCGCTGAACAGTACCAATGCTCATACATGAAGCTGGTTGCGCTTCATTCCACACAGCCTTAATTTCCACTACCAATGACCGGACCTCAACCTCCAACCCTACCGGAAACTCGGTCAGCAAATCCAAATCAGATAAGATTGACAACAATCCATTATTTTCTACCTCAAAACTGGCCCACAATGCATCCAGGTCCTGAATAGCAACAGCTAACTGAGGCCGAACAGCCTGGTCAGTTGCTAAGCTAGAAGCCAGTTGATGAATATGGCGAATCCTAGCCACTATGCCATCTCGACGTAGAATTGTTCGCTCCTTAGCTCGAGCATCCCGTTCTGTGTCAACCATGTTACCAACTTACTAGTATGCACAAGACAGTCAAACCGCAGTAATCAAACAGAGCAGAATATGATTAGTTGTTGAAAGTCAATACGATATAGAACAGATCAAGTGCAAGAGCACAGGCAAGCTCAAACTATTCAAATAATTAATATGAAATCACACAATGCAAAACGTTGAGCAACGATGCCAAATGATAATGATCAAGTAGTAACAATCAAATTGATTAATTAAAAGTCAGAAGATATAATTGATATAGGCAACACCTATGCAACCACCAACCTACACTAACTATACAGCTGATAAAATAGAATTACAGATCAGAAGATGAACAACGTCAATCAACAATAAACAAATCAACTAATAAAAATATAATATGAGCGTTGGTGTAGGCAATAACTAGACAAGCAACTAATTAAACGCTAGCTCACACTCAATATAACAACTAATGACAGATTAAAATATTCGGGGAGCACCTACAATAATAATTTAATTCTCCAGGTGTGACCGAACAAAGCAATACTAGTTATAATTATTAAATTGATTATAATAACTATGAACTAGAGAAATAAACAATTATGTAGTATATAACCCTTAAACTTCAGTTGAGCAACCCTAAAGAGGATAATATAATACAAACAATAAAAGTAATAATATTATTATATAAAGTTATAGTACAGTACCTGAGCAATGGCACGACCCACGACGCACACCTAAATCTTATGCTATACAAATATATAATAAATATAACTAGGTGTACTGACAATGCTACTGTTAAGACTCAACTGTCAACAGCAGACAATAAAATAATAATAAACAACCCAATTAATTAAATAAACTATAATCACTAAGGTAGGTGTTCACTAGACCGGCAACCTGTAAGCAAGAACCTATAGTTATACCCAATATTAAAAAACCAATAAATAAATTCAACCCAGGGAACACTGGTATAATAACATAATTTAATTAATTGTAATAGGTAATTAAAGTAAATTTAAATTAATTAATTATAATAACAACTTAACCGCACGAGCACGGATACAGTGAATATAACTCAACACTAAAATAATAAGTTTAATTATTAAAAATAATGTAACAATTGACTGAGCAGTCGGTTGAGTTAAATTCTTATACCTATATTCTACTAAATAGTACCCACACTATATATACTAATATTGAGACCCCATAATCACAAATATAATAAATAATAAGCGAAGCTAGTAATCTTAATAGCTAAGAGCACTAAGTAGGTAGGAATTAGGAATGGGATAAATAAATTTCAACACTTTAAACTCATATGCTATAGCTACAAACAAAATGCACTACTCACATGTATCCTGAGTACCAGATCTGTTGATGGACCAATCAACCACGCCCTGCTACCAAATGTTTGCGCCGACGATCCTGACTAGCGGTTGTCGTCTGACACACGGTCCTCGGGATAAAGGCGGGGCAGGGCAAATGTTAAATAACAACAATTTGAGTTTAAATATACAAGAATTGGCATGTATTAAGTCTTACATGCACAACAAATTAATTGTATCTATCAGTACACAAGTTACAGGGGGGGAAACGGGGATCACCGACTGAGCTGCCTTCCTGGCCGATGTCTTGAGCTGGTGAACTGTATGTGCGGAGCTGCTGTATGTGCGGAGCTGCTGTATGTGCGGAGCTGCTGTATCTGGATCACGGGTGCGAGCGTGTGCACCGTCGTGTCGTGGAGCGAAGAACGTTCAACCGCGCACGTGGACGCGAAGAATGGTATAGTAGGTAAAGCTACTCGGAGCTGATTGTCACGAACTTGACGAGAGCAGACTGGACGACGACAGTCAATAAAAGATCAATACGGTTAATCGGCCGAACAACCGCGATGTTTAATACTGAACAATAAACACGTTTTCCGTAACTATCCCAAACGGGAAAAGATGGCTGACGGGCGAGCGAGCAGAACAACCGTGTTGACGGAGCGGTCGGGTACTCGTTGCAACGGAAAAACGGAGAGAGAGTGGCGCGTACGAACGAGCTCGCCTGCGCCGGGCGCCGGTAACAGCCTACCAGTGTTGCCAAAATTGCGGCTGCCGGCGCGCAGCGCCCATGAACATGGTTACTGCGGCGGTCGGTCGAGCGTGACCACCGACGGCGGCAATGTTGTTATCAAACGGATCGAACAGTGACAACTGACAAGTGTCAATCCCGAGCACAAGCTTATTTCCATAACTGAAGGTAATACAATTAAATATGTTATGTGAATAATGTAGAGTAGTGTAACATTATAAACAACGTACAAAGCCGTTTGAAAACTTTTTATATTAAAATGTCATGCATGTAGCTATAGGTAATTCGTGACGCAATTATAAAATAAATATGAAAATCATTATTTTTTAAATTGTTGACTAAATATTAATATGTTACCTAAATAATCTTTCTTTTCTTAAGTTTTCAATAAAACCATCTATAGATAAAACACGAAATTTATCTGCATATTTATGGGTTTTGCCGAAAGATCATAGTGATAAACGCCCGGACAATTTGACGTGATAATTTCTACATCGCCCTTTTGGCGCCTACATTAGGGCATTCGACTAGTATATACATCGAAATATCGAATAAAACATCAAATTTAACATACCCGGTAGAATAAAATAATAAAAATGAACATAGTAAATAATAATACGATCGTATAACGTATTGTACACATAAATCCTATACATATGTACCTGATACCTATATTATATACGCCTTGTACACGTGTTTTTTGTATATATGAGGAGCTCAGGATAGGACGTCCTGTCATTTTACATCAATTTGCTTCGTTGTTATTATTATTATCAGCTTCGGTCAATATTATAATAAGTATTATGTTTATATACAAAAACACTCGTTTCGTAACTTGAACACATTTTGGGTGTAACTTTTACAATGCGTGCATACTAATTAACGGTAACAACATTACGGACGACCGCGGCGCGATGTGTTTATTTATTACCGAAACGTTTAATATTGTTATATACACGTGTAAGAACATGTTATCTCTATTTTTAACCCAATTTTATTAAAATGATTGTTATTATTTGAACGTATGTTTTAGGGTGCCCGGGGGCGAGAAAAAAGACGGGCGGGCGCTTTACACACTGTATAGATTAAAATCTAAATTGGTCGATCGACGTGAATATGATTGCGGATGATTTGTTGCTCGTAAAAAACAGTAAACTATTCAAAAATTATACTTTGTGCCGAGAGTGGGGACATTAACCTCGAACGAGGAGCGTTAGATACTATCAATATAATATACAAGTGAATAGAGTAATAGAAAGTAAATAAGTACCATTTTTCCTAGTTAAGTGATGTTCACGAAAAAATTGTATTTCGTAAAAAATAATAATTTTATTGTGAGTACGCATGGCGTATGTATGGCGAGTACATTTACTATATTGTAATAACATACATCAAAATATATCCATAGTAGCAATTCAGCATAGCCAAAATAAATAAAATCAAAATCAATTTTTAAAACAAATACATACTTTTAAAGTTTTTAGTTATATAAGTTATAATTGTTAGGCCGTTCTACAATAATTATAAGATAAATTAAAATTTTCCAACAGCTCCAAAATATTAAAATAACCGAAAACCGTATTCAATACGCTGACTGGTTATTATATTTGTAAAATATTTAGGAATGTATATTATAGATATTATAACATAATAGCTTTGTACTTTTCAATTGAACAAACTGGAGTTATAAATCATAAAAATATATTTTTGGTTGCGATCGGTTTTAGTATAAGCAACTAGGCTTCTGTAGTATATACCACGGGCGCTATTTTTTAAATATATTATATATTACTGCAGACGGTAGTGCAATAAATTTTGACTAACATTATATTAACTTCCGTAGGTATCTTAATTATTTTTGTAATACTTGTGAGGTGAGTTTAATATCTACTAAGTTAATTTGCCGGAGGATGTATCGGTCCTATAATAACTCGCTCAAAATAATATTGTAAAAATAATTTTCAATGACCTGTTATTGTTTTTAAAGCAAAACTAGTCTATACAATATGTCGATATAAAGAAAATTATTTAAATTAGACTATTAATTGATTTGTGTATCAAAAAATCAACAGAAAAACAACATTATAATTAACGTAACGACTTTTTACGGTGTTTAAAACTATTCGAACAATTTTACTCTTTTATCATATTCATATTGGCCGATGAAAATCAACTATCTTACATGGAGATGTATAACGCGCCAGTTCCGATATATAGGTACTTAAACCATAGGGTATTATAGATAAATTTATATAATAACATAATATACGTATATATTATAGTGCAAATTCTATCGTTATACACAGATTATTTGATAAAAATATTATAAGTGACGCAAAAACCATAACTCATACAGGTATTATGAGGAGATAAAAAAATTTCAAATGCCTACCATTAGGTATGTTATAAGCGACGGACATATAATATTATGCAATATACGTACCGAAAAACGGGATTACGGTGAATTAAGTACACAAATCACCATATAATATTTCATCTTAGTTCGTTCGAGGCGAAATCGGAAATCGTATTATTATATAAACATTAACACCAAGACACATGCGGTGAGATATTATATATTATATTATTATATTATTATGTTTGGTAGGTAGTGTTAGTGTATGTGTATATATGGTTAGAAATTAGAATATGACTGCCACACAACGAAGTTTCGTGGCTTATGGCTAAAACAAATTTTGTACTCGACACCGATGAAAAACCGATTATTTACCGGGTAGTATAGTGTTCACGCCTCTCCTCGCGCCTTCGGTCGGATATTTCGGTCCTTTTTAGAAGCCCCGCAAACCGGAGACTGTGCAGAGTAATATGGACAGAGTGTGTGTGTGTGTGTGTGTGTGTGTGTGTGTGTGTGTGGTGTATGCATGTTTGAACGAAAGTGTATATTATAAACGGAGACTGTTTGGTAAAATGATCGAAAAAAAATAAGAAAAGAT